TTTCAGCACCAGTTGCTTCATCTAAAAAAAAAAAAAAAAAAGAAAGAAAGAAAGGGGGGGGGATGCAGAGAGAAGGCTGAGGTACCTGTGCTGCTGTAAAGAGATGGGAGAGGGGCGGGGGAGGGCTCTCGGGATGCTAAGTGCTGCGCGTGCTGGTCCAGAGTCCCTACGTCCTTAAAACAGTCAGGGGCCGCCTTCCCAGTGCCCAGCAAGCTCCTGCTCTCTCGGAGATGAAGATGCCTCGGCTATCACTCAGCCCCGCTCCCGCCCAGGCATTTACACACTGATTTGTTCCCGTGTTTCCACGTGCAGACGGTGGCGGGCAGCTGAGTAACGATCCGTGGGTGAGGACCGATCCAGGGTGGCCTTTGGGCATCGAGGAACAGGTGCAGCATGGGAGGAGGTGACCCAGAGTCCCGTGAGGGAGCAGAGGCTCTGCAAAAACAGAATGAGACAGAAAGACCACTTGATTTGGAGTCAGCCAGACGTGAGTATAAATCCTAGCTCTGTCCCTTGCCCGCCGTGTGGCCCGGAGGAGGCCCGTCGTCGCTTTGCTTCTCCTGCTTCTATAAAATGGGACCAACAATCTCTCCCTCGCCACGTAGAGCGGTAGGTAAGGGCTCAGCATCCGGAGCCAGGCTGCAATTCATTAGCTGTCTGACCTTTGGAAACTCGTCTTGGGGCAGATTTGTGGAGGCACGATTGACATCTAAGAAGCCTCACATGCTGGCAGCGTACAGCTTTACGAGGTTGGACCCGCACAAACACGGGAAACTGTCCCCACAGCCGAGGCGACGAACACGTGTGTCCCCCGCCAGTCAAGCTTCGTGGTGCTGCCCCCACTCCCGGGCTCTCACCTCCAGGAAACCACGGCCACAGACCAGGCTGCATTTTCTTTGTTTAGTTTCAAATAGTTCCTATTGCAATGTCACCAAGTCCACCGATCTCGGACATCTAATGTCCCAGGAATCTCCCCTGATATGTGTTTACCTCTGACAGGGCAGTTTTCATCTCTAGAACCTCAGTTTGGGTATTTTGGTTTTTAAAAATATCTTCCTTGTACTTTTTTTTTTTTTAAAGAGAGAGAGAGCAGGGTGGTGGGGAGGGAGAAAGAGAATCTTAAACAGGCTCTGAGCCCAGGATCAACCCTGAGATCACCACCCTGAGACCAAGGTCTGGGCCAAATCAAGAGCCCGATGCTTGAAACCAATTGAGCCATCCAGGCTCCCTCTTCCTTGCATCTATTTACCATGTCTGATCTTCCTCTGGCTTCCAGAACATATGAAATGATGTTATAATGCCTGTTTTCCTGTTCTTATCTGCTAATTCTATCATCGGTGTCATTTCTGGGTCAGGTGTGATTGATTTTTCTGCTTATTTTGCTGCTCTTGCTGGCTGGTCATTTCTTTCCTGGATGCCAGACACTGTACATTTTACCTGGTTGCGTGCTGGACATCATTGTCGGAAACAAACAAAAACAGATGTGAACAGATCCCATTTTCATTTAGTACACTTCTTACCAGCAATGATACAATGTACAGCCTTTTTTTGGTTTTGTTTTTATATTCTACCTTTTTACACATTTAGTCCGTCCACTTAAACATTTTCTCTGGCCAGGCCACAGTTACCTATTTCTAAAATGTAGCTGTTTTTCTGGAATGTGGTTCTGTTCCTTGGAAGCAGGTTTGTTTGTTTGTTTGTTTTTCTTTTTTGTTCCCCCCACCCCACCCCCCGGAAGCAGTTTGATCCTTTGAGGGCTTCCTTTTGGGCTTCCCTGGCAGGGCCAGAGTAGTATCAGGTGCTAATTCTCCGCACTACCGAGGCAATGCCCTTCCCAGGCCTCTAACCGACCCCACATCATGAGAGTTTCCCACGCTGGCCATGGGGAACAGGCACTAGTCCCATCCCGGGGGAGCTCTCAGCAAGCAGTATTTCCTCTTACTCTCTTGGGCGGATCTTTCCTTGGACTCAGTTTCTTCACATTCAAGCAGTGATCGGTGAACCGGATACTCATGAATGACCCTTTGCAGAGAGCTCGAGGCCTCTGTCCTCGAAGCTCCCCTCCCTCTGGTGCTCTGCCCTGCAAACCCAAGGCACCCTGACTCCCTTGGACTCCCAGTGCTGCTGGAGTCCTCAACTCAAGAATGTGCTAGATTCCCTGGAACTGCACCTCGGAGTGGAAACTCCCCAGGCACTAAGCTGGAGCCTGCCTAAGGTTCGCCTCATTTGCTTCCCATCTCTCAGGGCTCACTGTCCTTCGCTCACCGATAGCCGCCGTCCTGAGAGCTGTCGTTTGCTTTTCCAGTTATTTCAAGGAGAGCAAATCCGATGCCTGCCTGCTATTCCAGTTTGGCCAGAAATAGACGCCAGGAGAGTTACGTATTTAAATTCCCTGTGACTCCATTTCCTCACCTATAAAATGAGACTAAGAATAGTGCCTATGTCACAGAGCTGTGTCAGGATCAAAGGCACGAATACTGGAATCTAATGCATAATAATTGCTCAGTAGGTAGAAGCTGTCCCTTGTTGCTGCTACGATTCCTGTTGTTGTTGTTTATTGTTAGTATCATAGGATCTGGGATCTACCTGTGAAACTCCTGAATTTTCGCTCCCAAGCTCAGTGCTTGACACTTCATTGGTATTAAATATTTGTGCCTTTAGAATTCTAACCCAGACCTCTCCAGCAGATAACTACTCATCCTCTTACTTTGGAGCCAGCTAAGAATGACCTTTGAGATCTTTAACAGCCATAATTTCTATGCCTCAGAGATCTAATTGATATTCTCATCGAGCAAATTAGCATTTGCAGCAAACATACTTCACTCCAGATTTATTATGCTCCCTAAATTAATGTAACAAGGATATTCTGAAGAGCAAACCAGAGTTTAATTCATAGGAGTCTGGAGGTCAGTGTCTGAGTTAACTGGAAGAATTCAAGGCAGGAAAGAGAAAGCCGCTTTCTCTTGCCCATCTGGGCAAATGGGACAGAAAACTCGGTTCTCAAAAAAAGGAAACAGGCTATTTGGGATACGCAGTTGAATCAAAAAGATATAGTGCCCATCTGGGCAAATGGGGCAGAGAACTCGGTTCTCAAAAAAAGGGAAATGAGCTATTTGGGATATGCAATTGAATCAAAAGATATAGTGAGCCCAGCCCCACAGTGCCCCTCATCTCCCACTCCTGGCTCTCAGACGGCCTCCTTCGGTGCCATGTGGTTGGTGTCAGATGTGATGCTCATGACTCGTCATGGGCCAGACATGCGACTGGGTCATCCTGGAAGCCTGGGGAAAGCCAGCACGGGAGGCAGGTCACAATGTGTCACCTGAATAAGAAGGATGTGCTCCAGGGCAGCGTCCGACAGTCTCTATCTCATTCTTCCCCTGAGACCTCTCCCACCACCTGCTTCCCAGACCAGAAATAGAGTCTGCTCGTGCTTTTCCATCTGCCCAGGTGGTGCGGAGACTTCCGGCTCTGTGGCTTACTAATCCCCCAGACACTCTCCTACGAGCCAGGAGCCCCCTGGTATTGCTTTATCTTGTGTAAGAAAAGCAACTTTATGTCATAGGAACTAAAACCCATATGCCCGAATCAGCGATGACGACGGCTACGCTGGTTTCTCATAATGGTACGTGCAGTTCATTAACAAACTGGCAGTTGCCCTTTTTTCCATCTCTAAAAGCAAGATAATCACGAACAGATTTTTCACAAATATCTATGCACTAAAAAGGATGAAATCAGGTCCCAAAGGGTGGATTAGAGTTCATGGGTTATGAAAGAATCCATGATACTCGGGGATCACGTCTGCCCTCAAACCGAGAGCCATGGTTTAGGGCTTGCATCGACTCTTTTATTCAACAGTTATTAAGAAAAGATCTGAGATCATCTAGTCTCAGGGGGATGTGGTTCAATAAGGGTCATAAGACAAAGACATAAATGATCAGAACTCAGGGTAGGAAATGCTTAGGGCTTGGAAGTTCATCGCCTAGTAGTTAAGATTTAGAACTTTGGAGTCATACCTCCTGGGTTGAACCTACTGGTTGTGTCTTTGACTAGCTGCGTGTCCTTGGGCAAGTCGTTTTATTTCCTGACCCACTGTATTTCCCACTGGTCTCCTCTTTGGTAAATTGGAGATAGGAGAGCAGTTGCGTGAATCAAACAAGGTGAGGTATGTAAGGTAGTTAGATCATTGCTCGGGGTCAGTTACCTCATATTATTAATTGCTTTCCCAGGCCAAAGGAGGAGTAGATCCTAAACAGTTTCCCACAGAGGGTGGCAATCACTTTGGTGGCTCCCTGGCCTGGGAGAGAGGGTGGGGTTGGGAAACTAGAACATTCTGTTCCTACTCCGCGCAGACCACAGATTTTTTTTTTTAGATTTATTTATTTATTCATTTTAATTCGTGAGAGACACAGAGAGAGAGGCAGCGACACAGGCAGAGGGAGAAGCAGGCTCCCCACGGGGAACCCGATGTGGGACTCGATCCCAAGACCCTGGGGTCACAACGGGAGCCAAAGGCAGATGCTCAATGCACTGAGCCCCCCAAGGCGTCTCGCAGACCACAGGTTTCAAGATAAATTCAGATTGATTCTACTTCCATCTGAAGGCCAGAGCAGCCTCGGTGTGGGCTACATAAGTTCTGTGTCCACTGATTTTCTTGCCTCATGCTCCTTATGCTCGGAGCTTGAACTCCCACCCGATATGCTAAGATGTCCTATCTCTGGGTGATGCAGCTTGTCCCAAACAGAATGTTCCCCTCTCTGTGGCTGCAAACTCACTTATGAATGGCATCATCTTTCCAGGGATTGAAGATGGAAAGATTACTGACACCCTCAGAAGCTCATTTTTCTCCTTTCCGGCGCCCTGTGTTGTTCACCATCCTGCCCATTGCCCCATTCTGATCCCATACAATCAAGCCTTGTCCATTTGACGGGTTAAGTATTTCCTGAATCCACGCACACAGCCATGGCCCTCTCCAGGTCGTCACCCCCTTCTCCTGACAGGCTGCAGCAGCCTCCCGCCAACCCTGGTGTCTCGGCTGTGGCCTTGCCCGATGTCCACCCATTCTCCTCTCTGGTGAGGCTGAATGAAATCCACCTGCGGGTCTTTCCTGCTGTGAGTCTTCCATGACTCTCCATACAACCTCCATACAATGATCTCAAGTTTGCTTGGGGCCGCCATATGCTTAGTTAGAAATCCTACTTTCTAGTTTTCCTGGAAGCTTGTGACCAGGTTCTGGTCAAGGAGATGTAAACAAAAATCTATGGGCTGGGCTTCTAGGGAAGCCGTATTTTCCTGATTAAAAGGAAGGAATTCAACTGGTACAATGCAACTTTTTCTCTTCCCTGTTCCTGTCTGGTACCTGGGCAGATGCCTGTGGGAAGAGTCATCCTGATTGATCCCAAGAAGATGAAAGTCATCCCCTAAGGTTGGTGGAGCAGGAAGCTAGAGGAAGCCTGTTTGCCCAATGAGTTCCTGGACCAGCCACAGTCACCCGGGACCGCCCAGCTCCCGATTTCTTGTGACACAAGAAAGAGAAATCTCTGTTCGGTTGAGTAACCGCATTTTGGTTCCTGTCACTAAAGTCCGCCTCGGCCTTAACTGATGTACCCTCTCCCATCATCTAGAGCTGCAGTTTGCTAACTTTTGTGAGCATCCAAATTGGCACCTGATACAAATTCAGGGTGGGAACCTCACCCCAACAGATTCTAGTCTACGCGGATCTGCAGGGGGGTCTGCAACCGGTATCTACTGATGTGTCATGTAGGCCAATGAGAAAAGCACCAAATCCTGGAACTTACACTTAGATGGTTAAGGAAGGAAACATACAAATGCTGTGTTTATGAGGGATTTTAAGAACTGGCCTCTATAACTTCTCTGGTCTCATCTCTGGCCATTCCCACTGCTGTACTTGCCCAGAACCTTCCATTTGGTGACTTGACTTGTGCCGTTTCCATGTCTATGAAGCTCTTTCCGCCTTTCTGGCCCTGGGCCTTTCCCAGACCACAAGATGTAGCTTAGGTATCACCTCACCCGGGGAGTCCTCCAGGAACACTCAGATTGTGCTTTTTGTTGACCACCGAGGAGCCCTTGAAAAGTTCCGGATGGAGAGAATGTTCCAGAAGGTGGGGAAGGGAGGAATGGAATGATGTGTTTGTGTGGTCAGATTTACATGCCCATCTGCTCTCACTGCTTTGGCTTGAATGGAGGTAGGAGGGCGGAGACTGTAAACTGTATTGGTTTTTGTTTCGGCCCTTCATTTATAATAACTCCTAGAGACTGGGATCTGCAGCCAGAGTGAACGCGTGCCTCAGAAAATTATTAATTTTAGTGGGCTGTTCTCTCCTTTTCACTTTTCATTTACATTTTGAGAGTTAGAGTCAACACCAAGCATAATAGAAGCAATCAGATAGGCTCCAGTGGAAACCAGGAACATCTAATTAAATCCTTATATTTGCAGGTCTGGTTCTCAAGGGAGGAAAAAAACATGTGACTGGCTTGATATTTATAGAGTGCATTCATTCATTCAATATGCATTCACTCATTTATTCACTCTCTCTGCACTGACAAGATTCTCTTGGTTACAAATAAAAGAAACAGAACTCAAGCTGTGTTAAGTCAGACAAAAGAAATTCACTGGCTCCTGTACTTGGACAGTCCAAGAATTCAACTGGCTTCCCACACTGGGGGCTTAAATTATGGCCCCAAATGTGTCCTCCTCTTCTGTTCCTTCTTCCTCTCTCCTCATTTTCCTTCTTCCTTTCTGCTGCCTCTCCTCTTCCCATCGTTCGGTCAGGCTCTTTCCTTGTGGCAAGTAAAGGAGCCTCCAGCAACTTCAAATAAACATCCCGACAGGTTAGCACAAATGTTATCCACTGCTAGAACCAACCAAAAAATCCCAAGGTGAACTCTAATCTGTCTTGTGTTATATGTCTCTACCTGAAGCTGATTTCTGTGGCCAAAAGTTTGGAATAGTCTGATTAGCTTGGGCTGGGATACATGCCCAGGGTAGAGAATGTGAAGGGTCAAGTTCAACCCCACCTATCACAGGGAATGTGTACAGGATACTGAAGAGACATAACCACAAATCCCACAATCCCATCCATCCAACAGTCCATCTATCCACCCATCCATCCTTCCATCCATCCACTCATCCAATCATCCATCCACCACCTATCCTCCCATTCAACCACCCATCCGACCATCTATCCACCACCCATCCTTCCATCTTCCATCCATCCATTTGTCCATCTTACAAGCATTTTTAGAGCTTTTTCTATGCTTGGCACCGTACAGGCACTCATGTCAGATCATCTACCACACAGCTACTGGGCAGGATGAGGACTTAGCTAGCACAAAGCTTAGCCCAAAGTAGTGTTTGAGTAAGTGTTTGAATGGATCAATAGATGACCTGAATCTTAAGTCTGGGTCCCTAGGATGATAATGCCCCTGTTGTAAAATGAGAATATGGGCCTGAAAAGTGGCTCTGGGGTGAATGGAGCTATGCCAGGCAGAGTGCTTGATTGAACCTCACGATTGATGGTTCACTTCCTCTCCCCTGATTGCAGGAGCGCCAGGCAAGGATGGGAATTCTCTGCTGTTCTACACTGTCAGTCTCAGAGACCGGGGATGGAGGCAATTATTCTGAGCCATCAAATGAATAAATATTTTGGAATGAGAGTCAGCAGGGAGATGTGATGGGATTTAAATGCTGATACAATATGCCGGGCTGCTTTCAGGAGCCCTTAGTCAGCGGGCAGAGCTGGGATTGGGCAGGCAAGAGTCCCCCAGCCAGGGCACTAGCATACCAGTAACTCGGGTCCTCATTCCCTTCCCCTCTCTCAGGGGATGCTCCCAGGGAAGGGAAGGACACTCTGCCCTGCTGTCGTTTTGCCTCTATGTCCACCAGCATTTGGATCATGTCAGTGGGCGCTCGGTCTCTCCACCAGTGATGGGAAGTCTCCTGGTGACGGAGACATAGACTTTGCTGCAACAAAATCCCCTTCTAAGCTTGCCACCCAGCATTAAATAAACATTAGCCCCACGGGTTGAGCGGGGTCGAAGCTCAGAGTTGGTTGTAGAATAGGATTTTTATGAGCATTCTCAATTTTCAGTGAATTCATTTTTTTGCTGGATCGTTAATTCACTCATAAATTTCTTTCTGCCTTCATTCATTCACCCAGCAATCATCGGTGAGGTGAATTATTAATGCTGCACCCAGATTCCTTCTTATTGTTTCTGTGCCCTACACCGGCTTCTTAGGTGGGCCTTCCCTTCCAGCAGCCCACATCTGTGACTCTTACCAACCCTGCCCTTGGGGATGTACGTCCTCCCCATTCCCAGGGTGCCTTGAACCAATGACTGCAACTTATATTCCAGCGGCCCATAGGATTGGGCCGTAGCTGCCTGGGAGAGATTTTGTCTGAAGTCACATTCCTGCCCAGAAGGCTGGGGCTAGGGTGAAGCAAGTGACATAATGGGGCACCAAATTTAAGGGGACACTCACTCTGAGATTCGTGCACCAACGTCCACAGTTTTGCATCCTGGGTGCCTCACGCAGCTCCCCAGGCTCTCGCTCTCCTCCCCTTCCCTGTTGCATCCCCGACTCCCCTACGGAGCCCCCCTGGGAGTGCTTCATGATACCTGGTGTCCGCACAGCTGCGCTCGGGCTCTGTTCACGGCAACTTGGCCAAGTCCACTAAGCGCCGTGTGCTGGAAACTGTCCTGTCTGCAGAGAAAGGCACGGGACATGGTCTCTGCCCTCCCAGAGCTCGCATTTCCGGGGGGACCACGTGGGGCAAGGCCCCCTCTTCGCAAATAACCCTGCTACCTCTGGGTACAGTCCTGAGGAAGGGAGAAGCCCGCCCGGGCGCGCCGTGTACCGGCTTCAGCTGCCTGGTTACTTAGAGCTGCCCCAGGCTGCTGCTTTGAGGAGGATCACAGCATCGGGAAGATTAAAACACTTTTTAAAATAATTGGTTTTGTACAGTCAATTGCTGCACACGTCCTCGGATTTGCATGCTTTAAAGGCAAAGAGATTTGTTCTTAATTAACTCATCTTGCAGTACTTGGATGTGAGGTTTAGTGCAATCCTGGCTGCGGGGGGGACACTTGCCTCTTGTCACCAAAGTGCCTTAGTGTGGAGATAGGGCATGAGGCCAAGGCGTTCTGAAGCCTCCAGGCAGAGGAACCATGGAGTCAACAAAGGGATTTCAATCTTGGAGTGACCCCCAGGGACTCCCCCCCTGCAAAATTCACCTTGTAGTGGGTGGAACTGTGTCCCCCCAAATTCATGTCCACCTGGACCCTGAGCAGCAAGTCAGAGCCACGGAATGGGAATCAAGAAATTGCACAGAGTGGCAACTGGCTGGCGACCCTGATGCGGCCCCTGCCAGCCTCTCGCTAAATCTTTATGTCTAGACAAAAAACAAGAACGAGAACAAAGTTCCCACCAACCTTAGATGGAGCTTCGAATTACAGCCAGAGTGCGAGGAACTGACGCTAATCCGAGGCTACTGCTGCAGGGGACCCGGGGAAAAACCCACCCAGGCTTAGGTAGGGGGTACGGTGGACCCTCCTTTCGGTCCAGGTAAGAGAGCGAGCCAGGGACAGAGGCCGCAGAGAGGAGCTCCTGGAGCCTGCCCCCCCTGCAGGCTCTGGTGCAGCAGGTGTGGGAGGAGGCCGGCAGGTGCAGCCTGGGATAACGGGGCTCCCAGTGGCCTGGGAACGGGGAGCTGGGCCTGGGAGGGGATGCAGTCGGCCTCAAGGGCAGCTCCCTGGGGAGGCAGCTGAACCAAGCCGTGACTTCTTGCAGACCGTCAGTGATGGATGGCGGGGGGTGGGGGGGTGGTGCAGGAGGATGTCGCCATTCCGCCCCACGACCCCAGACCTGCCAGGCACTGGGCTGGTGGTGCCGCTGGTCAAGGCTCCAGGGCAGCGCTTGCTTGCTCTCCCCTCCACCACCCCACCCCCGGCCGGCGGGGCCAGTTCCTAGGCCCGGACCCACAAGTCTCTGCAGCGCAGCCTCCTTGGCCAGTGGTCCCCTTCAGCCTCACCACTTGGGACAGACTGAATGTTCCTGCCTCCGCCACCTGACTCCACAGCGTGATGAGGCCTGGAGGTGGCATCTTTGGGACGTACCTGGGGTGGATTAGGTTATGGAGTGGGGCCTCCTTGTAAAGGGAGGAGGAGACACGAGGTCCGGCTCTGTGCAGCTCCCGAGGAGCCAGCGAGTAGGTGGCCCTCCTGGAAACCGCTGCACTGCCCCCCGACCTCAGGCTGCCCGCCTCCAGAAGCGCAGCAGCACAGTCCTGGGCCTGGAGCCACCTGGTGCACAGCATCCTGCCTCCCACCTCCCCACACACACACCTCAGTTCTGGGGCCCGGAGCCACCTGGTGCATGGCATCTTGGGACAGCAGCCGGGGGCAGGCCGGCAGTAGGGGCACCAGGCCAGGCTCCCAGGCCAGAGGAGGGGGACCAACTTCCCTTGTCCCCGTTTGCCTGCTGGTCTGTCTGCTGCCCCGAAGCGGCCCGGTCCTGCACGCCCCACTGGTTGGGGCTCCGGGCTGGCGGCGCCCCCGTGGGATGCCAGCAGCCCGCAGCTGCACCTGCTCTCCAGGTCCTGCCCACAGTCTGCCTCCGTGCTCCCAGGGGTCTGCCTCCGAGCAGCCAGCCCCTGACAATCCCAAGCCTCCCGCTGGTGCCCGGACCTGGGCTGCCTTCGCCGCCTGCAGGGCTCTCTGCACCACCTCCTCCTCCTCATTCCCTTTGTCGGTCCTCCCGCACTCATGAGGATAATTCCCTGTGTTCAGTTCTCTCTGTTAGAAAACACAGTTGTTTCTGTTTCCCCGATGGGCTGCAGGGGAGCTGCTCGGGTGGCCTGGATCCTGCAGTGACGACGTGGCAGGGGCTCGGCCAACCTGCGGCAGACACATGGTCTGAGCGGAAAATAGACCCTCACGCTGCAGCCTGTCCAGATTTCTGGGGTCATTCTTTTAGGCAGCACAAGCCAGACTATCCCGACGCACACAGGAGCCTCGAAGTCACATGGTCCTCCCGCTGGCCTCTTTGGGGAGGACTCTCTCATAGCGCCGGTGGCCGGAGAACCACACCCGGAGCAAGCTA